AATCTTGATTTCACCAAAATCAGTCAAGACTCACAAATCCTACTGCGATTTCTCTTTATTTATAACCAAAAGAAGGGAATGTATACAGCTCAGAAACAGAAATTGCCAGGAAAACTCATTAGGAACCTTTTATTTAATTCCGAATCGTTCAACTAATTTTGTCTTCAGTAATCAGATAATTCATAAAGAATTTTGATTTTTTTTTTACTTCCCAATTGTTTAAATGAAGCTGCCTATCAAAATACCTGTTAAAATTATCTCTACGATGTATTAACATTCTTTATCAAAAGGTTATAATTGCTTTTAGAGTGCTCATGCGTTATATTTAATTATGAAAACCACTGGACTATTCGAAATTTCCCATAAATTACATCCAACCATCCTGTCACCATTTCGTATCGGATAATCTTACTAATATTGTAAATGCAAATATTTAAATGGATGGATAGACGTTTATGTCGAAATCAGCACAATGATTCTCGCTGAAATTCGACATAGATGTAAAACACAGTCTGGAAAAACACATTACTTACTAGTTTATTTTTTTCTTTAATTCAGCGCGAACGAAGTTGCGCACAACAAAATAAAAAAGTGAAATTATGATTAACCTAAATTTGACTGTATATAAAATTAAGAAGCAGATAATCAAGAAATAGAGACAAGTAAATTAATTTTATTAAAACTCATAATTTACTAATAAATTTGATTCTAGCTACGTAAGACTAAGTAAACTCTGGCGACATGACAAATTACTACACACTATGAACACAAATAGAGTGATGTTAATGAGCTAGTCGTTAATCTTCCCGAAAAACGTAACCGAAAACTATTAACAATGTTTGGTACTCAATCTAATTAATGAAATACTAGGTGTCACCCGTGACTTTGTCTATCGAATAAAAAATTCAGTCTTCATTTTGTAACAAAATAAATAACTAGATCCCACGGGAACGGTTCATTTGTTCAGGTTCCAAAGTAGCCTATGCTATATTCCAGACTATTTCTACGTTTCAAATAAAAGGTAACAAACATCAAAACATTCGTGTCGTATGTAGATGTGAAGAGCATCGGCGGCTCAGGGACTAAGCACTTGACTTGTAATCTGCTTGTACTAGGATCGAGTCCCGCCACTTACCAATGTGTTTTTTTTATTTTGTATTTACACGAGGTTCTAACGGTGAAGAAAAACATCGTGATACAGCCTGCACATCTTAGAATAAATTCAATGATATGTGTGAAGTCAACCAACACGTACTAGGCCGGCGTGGTTGACTATTGCATAGTCACCCCTAACTTAAAGTAGATTCTGAGTCCCACAGTGGGGACGTATATTGAGCTGATGATGAAGTTGTGATCTTACCATCTTACTTCTTATTAATATTATAAATGCGAAGGTTTAGATGGTTGAATGGATGGACGTTTGTTTGAAGGTATCTCCTCTGAACTCTGAACTCTGTATCTCCTCTGAACGGATAGTCTGGAAGAACACTACTTGAAACTTTTTTTTAATTCTCTTCTTAAACTTCTAATATATAATTACTAGCTAATAATCGTAATATCTATAAAAGAACCTTAACGATGTAAAAAAAATATAGTAATTTTTTAACTGCATAGACAATTTAAAAGCTATAAACCAAATGACATAGTACACAAGTTATATTTTACATAGCCTTTATTGCTGGCCCTTAAAATGATAAATGGAAGTCATGAAAAAGTTGCGTATGAAAAGAAAATTCATTCATGAGAATTTTATTCAAGTTTAATAGCTTGAATGTGATGTGAGCAATTTCACTAAAATGTGCGAGGTTCAATGACATAATGGATATTATTAAAACTTTCAATAAAATAAAACTTTGTCCTAGTATTTTTTTATATCAGACGATGGTAAACGAGCAAGCGGACTCTTGTCATAAGAGGCCATTATAGCTCTAAACGATAGTACTAAGTGGTTAAATTAAACAATACTTAAGTTTTGATATGACTGCTAATAAAAAGATATTATATTTTAAATACGAATTTTTGGATGTATAGATGTTTGTTAGAAGGGACAGGTCCAGAACAACTCCATGGAATCACATGGAATTTGGTATAGATGTAGAACATAGTCTGAAAGAACGCATAGACTACTAAGTTTTTTTTTTAATTTTGCGCGAACGATGACGCGGGCGACAGCTATTGATTTTATAAAAGCGAATGGATGTGTGGATGGATGAATGTTTTTTTAAATGGTGTCTCCAGTACGACTGCATTGATCTCGCTGAAAGGCATAGATGTAGAACATAGTCTGGAAGTACATATAGGCAACTTATTATTTTATTTTTTAATTCCGCGCAGACGGTGTAGCGGGTGACAGGCAGTAGTAAATATTAGTATTCGTAAGTCATTGAAATGGTATTAGAAAATAATTTTGAACTTACGTCTGTGATAAATGGATAAAATATTCTTTGCCTGTCTGGAAGGATATGCGAGCCGGGGCGGCAACAGGAAATGACCCCATCAGTCTTTCTGCCTTATAAAGTGCTACGACCAGACATACACATATTGTACTTACTCAAATAAAAAAAAATTGTACTTAATATACTTTTTTAATCTTCAATGGTATTTATGTACTAGCTGTGCCCCAAACTTTGTCCGCGTGAAATGCTGTCTTTGTATTTCTTATTTTTCAAAAATAAACGTAGCCTAAGATACTCCTTATTACATCAGCCTATAATAAAGTGTCGTCAAAATTGGTCCAGCCATTTCAGAGAGTAGCCGGAACAAACAGACAGAAAAAAATGATTAAATTATTTAAATATTACAAACAGACACTCCAATTTCATTTATATGTATAGATTATCCTAGTGTAGATTTGTCTTACTAATTGCTTCCCTAAATGATCGCTAAACTAGTCAACGGCGACGGGAATGTAAGGCTATTTAATTATTAAAATAAACAAAAAAGTTAAATATAACAGTCGTCTACTTGTGTATTATGTAAGCATTTCTCTACGTAAAAATATAAAAACATAGTCGAGAAAGTTTCGTTAAAATCGAAAAACACATTTTTGTTTTTATACGTAAGTAATTTAATTTTGGGATTAAAAACTAATATATACCAAAGTTTTATCACAACCTAATAATATTTTTAGAACGCCTACAAACAAACACAAACATTGTTTTTATTATAGATAGATTTTGCCCGCGACTCCGTCTGCGCGGTATTAAAAATAAGCGTAATTAGTAGTCTATGTGTTCTCTCAGACTGGTCCTACATACATGCCAAATATCATCGAGATCCTTGTAACCGTTTTGGAGATACCTTCTAACAATCCATCCAGACATAATAACATTCGCATTTATAATATTAGTAAGATTAGATATATTAAAATCCTATCAAAACTATTTTGTAGTCAAATATTGTTCTTGAATTTTAGATTTTACCAAATATTATAGCTATTTCGTTGTAAAATTAATTTAATATCATCCAATAGAGCGTACGAGAAATTCATAAGGCAAGGAAAATGTTTGAACTAATAATTGAGAAGTTCAAAACGGTTGTAACAAAAATATACAGTCATGATTCTAATTAACTTTACAAGTTACAATATTAAAATGTAAAATACAAGTGACGTAGATGTTTCGATTTTGTTTTTAATTTTGAACCTTCATTTACTAAAGGCCATTGTTATATTTTTTCATGATATTGTTTTTAATCAACGAATGAATTAATGAATAAATAAAAGCAAAGGTACTATAGATAAGGTACATTACCAAAAACATATTGATAATTTTGTTTTCTCAAAGAAAAGGAAGGAAAAAAGAACTAAAATAATTGATGACGCCAAATCTATTTGTACCAACCTTTTATAGATTAGCCGGGCTTGATATCCATCCTTTTAAGGAAATTAACTTTAATAAATCTGAAGTGTTTAATTTAAAGAGAGCGTCGGTGGCTCAGGGGTCAAGCACTTGACTTGCAACCTGCAGGTCCTAGGGTCGAATCCCGCCATGTACCAATGTGTTTTTCGATTTCCGATTTACACATGCACATTTATCCGACGTTCTTACGATGAAGGAAAACATCGTGATGCAACCTGCACATGTCTGAGAAGAAATTCAAAGATATGTGTGAACTCAACCAACCCGCTCTTGACCAGCGTGGTTGACTATGGCCTAATCACCCTTAACTTAGGGTAGGCACCGAGCCCCTCGGTGATGATTTAATTTAGTGGTAAATTCAATAAAATTTAATTATTTATCCTCCAATATTTTCATATTTCAGTTCTTGAGATAAATTTTGATTAAAGTATTCGATGCCTGAGATAGTTTTAGTACTGAACTTCTTAAAGCCTTCGAACCAACTTCAGTCCAGATATAGTTGAAATAGTTCTTAAGAGGTTTTTACTTATATTACTTACCTTACATACCTTGAGTATTAGCTTTTTATTATAAATATTATTATAAGTATGTTAGAATCAAAATGGAAATTGTAAAACAAATAAAATATTCATATCGTTCTACACCACTAAATATTTGCATTCAATGTTACGGAACAATGGTGACAAATACCTCTGTTATCCTCATATCGTATAACAAAAACAAATTCTTTCCCCTAAGGATATTTATCCAATAGCGAATTCTTTGTTTCCTTTTTTGTCTCAAATTTCAATAAAGATGGCTTCCGTCTTTTAGTGTTTGACATATTGTACAATAAGGGAAACAAACATCTGATCAAAAAAATCATTTTGTATTTATAGGACCATGTTTTTAATATTTTGGTTTATTGAAGACAGTCGAATACAGCTGGTAGTAGACTTGGAAATTGCCACAAAGCTAGTCTCCTGTCGTCCTCATCGATGACTAAGCGCCTTTGATAATTTAATAGCAATAAGCACGTATCGATATTTTGCTTATAAAATAAAACATCCATTCTACTATCCCCCGTATCGTGACCGTATGCAGATCAAAATGGACTTACCATTTAGTAGTAATAGGAAGTAAATAAAACAAAACTAATGCAGATTATAGTTTATTATTCCTTTATAAGTTGAATATAATATGAAGTTAAGTTTACAAGCAATGTATTTTTTTTTCGTGATCCAATTAATGGACACTAATACTAAAGAGAAACAGACTACGCCACTTACCGTGGGGGTAGGGTAAAGATGACAAACATTCACTAAAGCTTACATAAAATTGAAGTCTTTATTAACTATTGACTCAACAATTTACGCAAAACAAGTATAAAAGCTACTTTAAAACTTATCGATCGTTTATATTTCATAGGGGAGTTTGACAGCTCCTGTCTTTTAAAAAGCAAAGACATAGTTCATTAAAAAATTAATGTTTAGGATTCAAACACAACCTCTATATTGCTTCCCGTAAGTTTCCGAGACCAAAATCTCTATATAAAACATATTATCATCCCTGTCATTACTTTTGACAAAACAGAGATATAGAACAATATGTTCTAAAAGAAAGCCGAAAGCCTACAGTTTATATTATTGCACTAAACAACATTTTTTTATAGTTTTACAATAGATTGAGATTAAAAATGTTACAAGCTTTTTTTTAATCATTTAAAACAGATAATGCCATTTCCCGAGATATATCATCACTCATCATGTTATTTGTGGCTTCTTCATCATCACTTGACCACCAGCTATCATTATCATCATTAATGAAACATAGGAACAAATCATCTTCATATGTTGGAAAATAGTATTCCGGTTGATCCCATGTCTTTTCAGGCAAGTGCCAGTGTTTTTTTTCTTTTAAATGCTTTTCAAGATTCTTTGCATCATCAAACTTTGTATCACACGACCAGCATTGCTTCAAATATACCTGTCTTCGTATAAAATTCACAACTTTAATCTTGTGATAGAAGAGTAATCCAGTAGTTTCTTTTGTGAATGAGAAATCATGTTTTTGTTCCATATGATCAAGTATGTTTTGATATTCTTTTTCACTGTGATCACAGATTAGGCAAGTGATTAATGGTCCGTTCTCTTCGGTCCATTGTGACCAATCTGGATCGCTGTCAACATCTGAATCCTGGTCACATACGTTGTTGGCCCATTGTTTAGTTTTTTGTACTTCATGATAGTGTTTTTTACATGCTTGATTCATAGTTTTTGGTTTATCACCTAAATAATTCACTAGGAAATATTTATCATACTTTTTGTTACAGGGATTTATTCTCTTATGTCCCTTCTTTCTCATGTGTTCTTTGAGAATGGTTCGATCTTTAAACACACCCTCACAGTATATGCACTGTAGATTCTTTAGTTTTAATGCTATAAAATCTATCAGATCATCCACGAAGATTAAATTTTCTGGTTTAGCAACATAAAAGTTATGCTTTTCAAAAAGGTGATTCAAATAACTAGCCCTTGTTGTATTTGTCTGGCACCGACAAAATAAACATTCTCGTTTATAATTATCATCTTCTCGTTCGAAAGCATGTATTTCCAATAGTTTTTCTAATCTTTTTTGCAGTAAGCTGCTACGAAGTTCCTTGTCTTCGGGATGTATATCACTTAAGAGATAATATTCTTCATTCCTTGACGGAGTACCATCAGGTTTACTGTCCAACAACATTGTGGTGCAAAAGTATGGAAGACCATGATCTGTAAAGAATTTTTTTATGAACAAAACAAACAAATAAACCTACAAAAATCTCTTAATAATCAGTTACTCTCTCTCGCTATCCCCCTAGCTAATATCACATAAGGGGTAATCATTGTTCTTTGTTTAACTCTTAAATTTACTGTGTTCTCAACATCTTTATTGCAAGATTTGGCTGTACCATGTCTTATATATCTACATACCTTATCAGTGTAACACTTTATAAAATTATGGTTAAGGAATTTAATTTGTCAGTTTTATATAAATTCGGTAATTATATTTTTATATATAATATATTTGATGTGATTTAACTATGTATAAGTTCTAATAAAATATTGGTACTATACAGTAATATGAAAACTTATATACAATTTTTCTAGTATAAGGTTTAAAAAAAATACATGAAAGATTTTGTTTTATATCTACAATCCTAACTTGTGTTGTAGAAACTGCTGTTTTATTTTATACTTTAATTGTAGATTTTAAAATTGTGTGTATGTCTATTAATAATGTGTTTGACAACTAACCTTTTAGTCTCAACCTCCAATAAACAAGGTAATCACAGAAATCGGATATTTTATTGACATCTGCGATTACTAAACGGTGTGATACAAATAAATGATTGAGTAAATTGTGTTCTTCCTCAGGTAGAACAAATTTTTCTTCACATAAAATACACGTACAATGTTTCGGTTCATTTGTCTTGAAAATTGTTGCAACTTTACTCTGTTGGTGTAAAGTCAAGGGTCCGAAAAATTGTTTTTCACCTCCTGTTGCCATATTTTTATACAACAATGGCAATGCGGCTCAATAATACTCGATGTATTAGTATAGTTATGGAATTCAATATTATTGATTATTTGTTTGCAGCTCTTGCTTTACAGATTGGGCCGGTGACAAGTATTTTTGGTTTTATCCTCGGTTGGAGAGATAGGCACTGAGACACTGATTTTGGATTAGTCTTGCGAATTTATCTTACGAATACTATTTATTAATAAGTGTATATTCTCACAACGCACTATCTTGCACTTTGGGCATGACGTTGACATTTCAAGGTCAATTATAGATTCATAACGTTACAGACAGATCCAATGTTACCTACCCTCAAAAAGATTTAAACCTAAATCAAATAAAATTACTTTCTTTACAAAAAAGCTTTGCTGCATTTTCAAAAGCCTTAAATAGGTATGTTGTAAACCTTTCCATTACTTTCATTACACCTTACCTTTATCATATTTAACTTGTGTTACTAAGTATTTTATTTTTAATGGTGTTGCGCCAAGGCAACATCATCAATCTCATATTTTAATAGATATTTTAACATAAAATGAAAAAGCCAATTATATTAAAACTCATACTTTATTAAAACTCTCTAAAAATTAAACTCAATTAAAGTAATAGGAACTTGCGAATGCAGTTATTTTAATTCTAATATATAAATGCCACTATGGGTATGTGTATGTTTTAAGCTAAGAACCAAAATTGTTTCAAAATGTTGATATAATTTTAACTCTAACTATACAATAAAAATAATAAAAAAAAGAACCCATTATTCACATTAAAGGATTCAGAAAATTACCGGCAAATTAAAAAAATAAATACAAAATGCTAAATTAAATACATGTTAAAGATATCGTTCTAATTTTTTACAAAAAAAAACTGAAATTTATGTATTCGTAACATAAAGAATTACCAAACTTCACAGGACCAACGTATTGAATATTTTTGATTATTTAAAAAAAATAGCTTTATTAAAATTCTCAAGTTCTACACACAGAGCAGTACGGATCATAATGCGTGGAACATTCTTCAATAAAAAAAATATTTTGTTCCAATTCAATTACATGGTTATAGTATTTTTTTACTTTATACTATATTTACAAAATATCATACATCTAATTACTTAAAGATAAAAAAATAATTATACAGGCGACTCATTTATATCTTAATCTAATTGTCATAAGTTTTAATACCTTTAGTTTTTACCTAGCAGCAAAAAAAGGTTTTATTACAATCATTGGAGTTTGCTGAATTTGTAATTTAATAAAAAAAACTCTTTTATAGCAAAATATAATACTGTTTAACTATGTCAATTGTGGTTGATACTTTAGTCTTCTTTACAAGACGCGTTGGTGTCCACATATAGGTTATTGTACGGAACCGAAGATCCTTTATTTGATGCTGTAACTTGAATAGCATATTTCCTTCCTGGCTTCAATCCTGTCACCTTCTTGACTATCACTCTTGCGCTGAAATATTTTTCATCATTTTTAAACGTTCACCATAGACAATTTTACAAATAAAAAAAAAAACAAAAACATTTTATAGCAAATACTTTTCTTATACTGGCAAACTTGTAGGCAACATTAATTTTTATAATTGGCAACATGCTATGTTAATTTATAAGGTATTAAAAATTACGCAAATTTACTTTTGACTACACAATTACTTTGAGTACTTAATTGAAAAAACTACGAAATTAGAAATTATTTGGTAAAGTTGGAATGTCTAGGTGTCGTGGCAAGAACCTCACGGCGCACAGGTTTATTGGATTAAGTTCAAACTTGGAGCTACGTGGATAACTTTATTAAGTTCACCTTTCGGATATTCGATATCACTTTAGAGTCTAGAGGGACTTCGAAGCCGAATTATTTCGACTTTCGAACTAACTTCATTGTTCACACATACCTAAGAAATATTTATTTTTTAACTTTTATTTTATACTTTTAAACTAATTACGTACATAATTAATTTGACTAGGTTTAAGCCTCTCAGTAACGACGACTTTCGCTCTACAATTGTTTTGGCAATTAGCCAAATATTAATGTATAGAAAATAAAGAAAAAAACCTTGTAAATTTTATGAAAATCATGAATACGTACGGTGTTCTTTGCATGTGATTTACACATTGCGCTTTTGTTCTCCTTGTGGACACACAGATGTTTTCTTTGCTTGGACTCTCCCGTGCCACTATACAATATCTGTAATATAAAAAATAGATAAAGTAATAATACAGATATTCTTTATTCGTAGCAATGAGATACTAATTACTCTGGAGCTCAGAAAAGAAAGCTTTGCAATAAACTCAAGAATATCCTCGTGTTAGGTTATGTTAGGTTATTTTACGACCTTATCAAACATTGTCTTAATGTTTTAAAGCTGATTTTTTAATCTAGTTATTATTGTAGAGGCAGACAGTTTACCTTATAGCATTCGTAGCGTTATGCATTGCTGGAAGGAACGCGATATCAACAGACTTGCAAGATCGACGTGGCCGCAACTCTCTCACTATACCTCCTTCGTCAAATAGCTCAGGTGAACTAATTCCCCATCTGGTTGTCGAGGTTACCAACTAGAAAAATTAAATATTATATTTAATTATTTTTTTAAGATTAAAGATTGTATTTTCTATAGCCGCTTAAAGCTACGGGTTCTAACATATCTGAAATCCACTATCCGGTTATTTAAAGATGTTACAAAATAAAAAGTTACGGAAAAACATTACAAATACCCAAATGAGGAAGGTTATTAATTTATTTGTTTAATGTAATATTTTAATTCTAGTTGTCTCGTATTATGAAATAAATAGATTAAAAATTTGTAAACTTTTCGTCGCACTATTAAAAATATATAATAGCTAACATATTTTAGTAAAGGTGAAAAATCGGAAGTTTAATTCAGGTCTTGTAAAATAAATTGACGTTTTGTTTATTGTCTGAACTATAATATTACCTCGACATTAACAATTTCATCTCTATTCCATTTGCTGGGTACAACACGTATAACGTAACGTAGTTTGAATTCCTCCGAACTGGAGTCAAATTGCACCGAATCTTCGTCACTGGTCTCTTGAATGGATGACGTCATCATTGGTGCAGCCACGAAAAATTTCGAATGTGGTTCTGTTGTTAAAAGAACGCTAGATTAGATTAGATAATAAAATAGGTACAATTATGTATAGTAAAGTGTCCAGTTTAAACGACTTTTTTATTTGGTATAATACCTATGCTCTTAGCCATGTACAGCCTCTTTCCTTTTACCAAGACTTCAACATCGACTGCTCCTCCACAAGAAGAAATCGACACCCAAATCCCGCCCCCCACTCCTACACCTGCCTGTAAAATGTAAACCATAGTAAAAAACAATATTTTTTTAAAACAAAGTTAAATACAGACTTTTTTCGGAATTAAAAATTAGTGGAGTTAGTTTAAATCATTTTTTTTTATAACAGAAGGGAGCAAACGAGCAGCGGGAACACCGAAGTGTTCAACGACGCCCATGGACATTAGCAATACCAGAGGAACCGTAGATGCGTTGCCGGCCTTTGAGATAGTGATAAGCTCTCTTCTTGAAGGACCCTAAGTCGTAAGTTAATCTTTATTTGTTTTTTATATCTACATTAAATAAACTTCAATAAAATCTTAATGTCTTAATTATCTCTTTGCCGTCAGTAATGTTGCCAAGAATTTTTTAATCATACTCACCTTGAAATAGTAAACAGTTTTTCCTTTAATTTCATTTCTCAAGGGAATATTTTCGCGCAGTCTCTTTGCGGTGGAGGTTCGAGGTCGGACGGTGCCTGTGGCTAGGAGAGACCCAGCTCGTCTGTCTCTTGATACACCAAATATACTCACGAAATATGTCTATAAAAACAATATATTGTTATAGTTACGAAGAAAAATCCGACACTGTGTCGGTGTACCGGCGCAACACTAGCCTTACTAAAATGTCAACGTTTACGTCCCCTCACTAATCATTCTGACACTTGTCTTTGGTAACGAAAGCACGCAATTCGCGCCAAATGATTCTAACTAATAATGTCTAAAATAATCAACTAGTTGGTTCGTTATTATCTTAAAGTTTAAGCCGATATCTAAATGAACTATAAATAGGCTATTTCTTTATATTAAATAAAGAAAACGAGCATTGGAAACACGAAGGTGTTCATCGACGCCCATGTCTGTAACACCACCAGAGACCGCTGATGCGTTGCCAGCCTTTGAAAAGATGATACGCTCCCTTCGTTGTAGCGGTTTGATTTGGTTTATTTTCATTATTGTAAGTTTTTATGTGAAAGTAAGACACCGACGATTGAGTTATGAATTAAAAAAAAATGATAATGAAAGAGAGTAGTATGTCTTTGATGCTTACTACACTTGGATCCAAATTTTCAATGACATGATGAGTTCTGTCGCCGACGCAAGCTATCAGCGGATCTTCACTGCTTACTTTTGTACTTCGACCTAAAATAATTGATACTTAATTTGAAATGATTCGAACGACGGCGTAAATTATATTATACCATAGGGCAACTCCATCCGCGTGGGATTAAAAAATAGATATCAGCCGATTCTCAGAACTACTGAATATGTATATCAAAGGAGTACGGTAATTTTTATTTAAATTTTACATTCTGATACGAGGATTTTATATATAACATAAGACACTTATGTAATACGATCGAAGCTCAATTTTTAGTTATTACTTAAATGTTACCTATATATATTTTTATTATAGATTTTTTTACTGCTAGGTATAATGGTATGAAAATTCTAAACTACATACTCATCATCAACCTGCCCTTATCCCTATCGAGGGTCGGCACAGCATGTACTACTCCTCCATACATCTCTATCAGCCGTCATATTCGAGTCTACCCCCTTCTTACGCATATCCTCTTTCACGCAGACATTCCATACTTTTTTTGGTCTTCCTCTACCCTTGTAGCCATCCACATTCAATCTCATTACTTTTTTGATTATATCATCATCATCCCTCCTCATAACATGTCCAAACCACGCTAATCTTTTACTCCTCAATTTCTCGATCACTGGCGCTACTTTCAAACTTCCTTTAATATACACATTTTTAACTTTATCCTTCCTTGTCACACCACACATCCATCTTAGCATACGCATTTTAGCTACATGCAATCTTCTTTCATCCGAAACCTTGGAATACCTTACATACTATTAAATTATTATGTATTTATTTCATAAAGCAATAATATGTCACTTACCGAACTTTTTCCTTCTATAAATGTTTTTAAAGTTGCCCTCGTAAATGTTAAATCCATCTATGTCCAGTTCTACTTTGTTGTCCGCTTCAACTGAAGTACTGTGATGGGTAGCATTGCTATAACGATCCCGTTGCTTCGAGCTATCCATATCTGGATTCGATCTATTTTCTTCGGAGTTGAAACGAGACGCTTTATTTTCTGAACGACTCGCTCTGACATCGCTTTGGGCAGCGCAGAGTGACGTGTAGTTCTTTCTGTGTGATGCAACGACGCAGTATGTAGTTGATTGCGGATCTATTGGACTGCGAATAAAAATTATTCTTTAATATACGTACTTGAGAAAAATTGATTTATAATATAATCACGAGAAAACTGTTTAATTTACAATCATAAGACTCTAACTTACGCAAAATTGATGATGGTTATAAGCTATGTGTTTTTGGGATAACTTTGCTTTTTTACTATTTTCTTTAAATATAATATTAATTGGTTTCAAAACTTTTATAAACTGAAAACTATAAAATTAGTTGTCGGTTGAACTGATGTTTATATCTTTGGAACCGCTCAACGGATCTTGATGAAATTTGGCACAGATGTTGACCATAGTCGGGAAGAAAACGCAAGATACTTATTAAGTTTTTTTTTTAATTCCGTGCGTACGGAGTCGCGGTCGGCAGCTAGGTCGATAAATGATTGCAAAAAGTAAAATGACGATAGCTATAACGATTAAGTGATACACATAATTGAAGACAAAACCAGCAAAGATAGTATTGTTATTTTTATTGACCTGACATACATTGTTTTAGTTGGATTGTATTCATTGGTGGAACAGGTTGATCAAGGGCCATAAAAATACAAAATAAACAAGTCCCATATTGTCAACGATAGAGATAAATTACGATAGATAGTCTAAGAGCATATCATAGTATGGTCATGTAAAGAAGAGGCCGCAGGACTGCGTTGATTTGGCACTACAACTTTCCCTCCCTGGTCGCAGATTCAGAGACAAACCCAAAACGAGACGGATATACGCGGTAAAAGACATGAGTGAGTGCTTAGTCTCAGAAGAAGATATAGACAGAGTGAAATGGAAGAGACGGATTAGGAAACCTGGCCCCACCACATTTTGGGATGCAAGCGAGGCAGGGAGAGAGTCTAACGAGCATGTTAACATTGCTAATAATCAGATTAAAAGATTCGTCGATTAAAGGCCATTAGAATAACTGAACGTAGGCACGAGAAAAATCGATGTCGCAATTATATAAATAACTGCTTAAGGGCCAATTATAAATTTCTATGTCGGATAGCGAACACTAGTGTTACCCGCTGTAGAAACGCGAGGCGTTTCGAAAATCCTATTGAAATACGTTAAAGGTAAGATGACTCTAACCGATTACAGTATACGGGTCCGATACTTTTGAAAAAGTCGTCCATACCTAATCGAGATTGGAATTTTTCAATGTTTCTTCACTTTGTTTTTCATTGACTTTTTTTTTAAATTGTCTACGAGGACGAGCGCACTATGTGGAATTTAAATCGGGAATTTGAAAGAGTATGCGTTGCGTTAGGTCTACGCCGGCGTTATTATGAAAAAAACAATTGAAATCGTAATTTGTAAGAGTACCCATTATTACCAGAACCATAGACCTTTAAATAGAAAGCAATTAGAAATATATTCCACAGTTTGTAAGTGCCCTTATAGGGTGTACAAAAACAAACTTAAATCGATTAAGCGTGTATTTCAAGTTACGTAAATGGTTAAGTTATCACCATTTGGACTTAATTTGATGTCATCCAGACAATTACTAGATGTAGAAGAATGATGTAAAGGAGGCCGCGATTGTTTTAATTGCTTGTATAATTATATGCTGCGACATCAATACTAATTACGACCAGAGACAATAATTTGTAACAGTTGTAACTCATTAGCGGCTTATTTGTTACCGTTTTTCTAATTTGCATAGACAAAAAATTGATCACAAGAATAAAGTATCGGGGTACCTGTGCATCGAATCCAAAGTTGAATCCAGATTAATATAAAAACTAAACTCAAATAATTCCTGAATGATTTCTACGAAGAAAGTATTGTTAAGTCTCTTAACATTTCAATTGAGAAGAACTTGAGTAATTGGTCATCATCAACTCAGTATACGTCCCCACCGAGGGGCTCGGAGCCTACCCTAAGTTAAGGGTGATTAGGCCATAGTCGACCACGCTGGCCAAGTGCGGGTTGGTTGACTTCACACATATCTTCGAATTTCTTCTCAGATATGAGAAGGTTGAATTACGATGTTTTCCTTCACCGTAAGAACGTCGGATAAATGTACATATGTAAATCGGAAATCGAAAAACACATTGGTACATGGCGGGATTGGAACCCAGGACCTGCAGATTGTAAGTCAAGTGCTTGACTCCTGATCCACCGACGCTCAATTGGTATGAGTGATTGGTCTCTTCAATTAAATTTGGTTTTCGTAAAAGAGCATAAGATTTACTTTAAAAAGATATAAAAACCGTTTGATAGTGAAAACATTTCATTAATGTAATAAAATAACTTGATCTTCCAGAATAAATCACTATTTGGATTAACAGTTCCAATCCTTAGTTCAGGGTTATTATTGAATCGAGCAAAATTCAACTTTGATGTAATAGTAATAAAGTTGCTATTACATTTTCAATTCATACGGATGCAACATCACAAAAAGTTGATGGAATGAAGCTTGCCTATAGTTAGTGTTTATTCTATTTAAGCCAGCGAGTGGTATTCGCTACATATAGTCGCGATGAGTTATAAGGACGATTTGTGTATAATTATACAGACCGACAAGTTACAATACGTTCGTAATATGTACTTAATTGATTTTATTGCACCTTTAGTCTCACCGGTTTCGTAACTGTATCAATGAATATTTACAAATTAATATTTTAATGTAAGTATTTTACTTAAACGTTATGTGGATACTCCAAATGGATTTCTTTTCTTACTAGTTGTCTGGTAACTTCGTCGGAATTAAAAAATATATATTAGTCTACGTTTTCTTCCAGACTATGTTTTACATTTGTTTAAGTTCAGCGGGATTCAAACTGCCGTTAGGGAAATACCTACAAACATTCATACATTCATATATTTTATTTATTATTAATATTATTATATAAATGCAAATGTTTAGATAGATGGATGGATGTATGTTAGAAGGTACATATATCCAAAACTGCGGCATGGATCTCACTGAAATTTGCCATAGATTTTGAACATAGTCTGGAACAACATATAGCCTACTTATTAAGCTTCTTTTTTCGGTTCGGTGTCGCGGGGGAGTTTATAATAATGTGTCAAGAAAGTTTAAATAATTTAAGTTTTTTAATAATTAGCTCATTCTTTTATATGATATCGGTAAATATGAAATATAAGATTTTATAGTTTAAAGCGGTGTATAAGTTGAAATCGGTGTTATTGTTAGATTCCATTGCTAAGCTTGACCAATTAGTTAACCTTAAATGGTCAAGTTGTAACCGCGATAAGGCGGACGCGAAAAACAGAAAGCAGGTTCAGTGGACTCTTCGCGTAAGTCATTACAAAGTTGGGACGCGAGTACATTGGTATGATTTTTCCTGAATAAGGGGGATATTTACAATGAAATAATCTGTAGCTACTTTTATGTATACTTTTTAGTTCGTAACGTTATTTCGTAGTTTAAAGCAATGGTAACGTAATAAAACGGACAGAGGATTTATAATATTTGTAAAAGCAGATAACGGTTTCTAAGTAATAAAAAGACGTATTTCCAAATGACAGACATAGTGCATTCGCTTCGAAGCTATTCTATGGATAGAACTGACAATAACTTTCGATAAGTCACGTAATTGTCGCGCGTCAGTTCCATACATTTTTGAAGTTCGCTATGGAATCCCTTCCAAGTGAATTTCAAAAATGTTCCTAGCTTATTATTTAGTCATAGTCTCTTAAGAACCTATTGTGCGTTCCTACGGTGATACTAATGTTCGTTTAAATTAAATAAGTATAAAAGTGTATCTACATATGTCGAGAATAGGCAGTTATAAGAAATATATATATTTGAGTTGTGTGAATTCACCCTTTAAAAGATATATCTAATGCCATGTAGGGCGTATCATAAATTCATATATACTCGTTCTTGTGACGATCATACAGTGAGTCGCATTGGTTCGCGAGAGTTATGGCTAACGGTGCTACCGCACTGACAGCTTTTTATTGAGATATTTTGTTCTGGTAACAGTGATTTAGGATCGAGATCTCACAGTTTACAGTTGCCACAGATTAATAAGCTACAGGACACGCACTTATCCATCTTGTGCGTCGTTGCTTTGATTTCTTGACACATGGCCTGTCTTCCAGATTTAATGAGCTATGTTTTTCACAGATACATCTTGGCGTAAATGCTGTTAGTAATTGTATTATTTATAGTCTTTGAATTATTTTTTTTCCAGACCTTTAGTGTAGTGCAACTTGGAACTAACGAACAACTTTGAATATTATGAAAACTGACTTTAATACAGCATATTAAAATGATACCACTTGTCTCCTGTAAACTTTTTATTATAATTAAGTATGTCTTATTCATTCTGTAGTTTGTGGGATATCCAATTTCAAATATTGGAATCAAAGATATAAAACCTATAGACGAGGACTGAGTGCTTTGTACAAATTTGACGTCTAATTGGGAATCGATTTTCGAAATGTTATTTTGTATTGAAAATGGTAACACTGAGGAAATTTATCCCAATAGGCCGTCAGAGGTTTTTTTGGATATGTGGTCCGGTTGTGATATCCATAGATTATATAGCTATGGTTGGAATATTGAAAGGTAGGAGTTTACGAGAGCGTTGGTGGCTCAGGAGTTTAAGCACTTGACTTGCAATCTGCAGGTACTGGTTTCGAATCCCGTCATGTACCAATGTGTTTTTCTATTTCCGATTTACATATGTACATTTATCCGATGTTCTTACGGTGAAGAAAAACATCGTGATGCAACCTGCATATATCTGAGAAGAAAATCAAAGATATATGTGAAGTTAAACAACCCGCACTGGGCCAGCGTGGTTGACTATGTCCTAGTCACCTCTAAATTAGGGTAGGCTCCGAGCCCCTCGGTGGGGACTTATAGTGAGCTGATGATGATGAGTTCACTAAGCGAAACGCACAACTAAACAATACCTAAGGCAGTTTATACGTGTTGTCTTTGTTTGGTTAAGACTCTTTAATTCAATATTAAAGGTTTTACTTACCTTGGATCCCAATTGGCCGAGAGCCTGCGTCGCGATCGCACGCGTAGCCGCAACCGAACCCGTCTCGTTGACTCGCCTCGCACGCTCACCGCCACTGTTCCACCATTAGATGATGATAACTATAGGAAAACAAATAATAATTAACTAAAAACTATGACTGCTGTAACCGAGGTTTTCTGAGACAAAAATCTTCTATTTATCTTATTCCATTCAAAACAAAGCGGTAGACTAATGTCACCACTTGCAATTGATGCTATCCTGGTACTAAACATATTATGTATGTTGACTTGTGCCACGATTTAACCAGTGTTATTTTATTAGTAAAATAAGGAATATTAGTTATCCAATACTGAACAAATACAAAATGATAATTAATTAGTTAACTAATTAAAACAAACAAAACTTGTTACGATTTCTTTTTCACGTTAGTTATTAAGAAATAATATAAACCAGTTTATTATCAGTGAGCATTAAGAAAAAGTTTATTAAATTGCAGCTCGAAAAATGTAGTTAGCTTTAATTCCATTACTTCAATGACCGAGTTACAGTTTATAAATAATGCTTAGTAAATAAAGTGTTGGCTAAGCTCACAACTACCTTATAAAGGTGTAAACATAGCAATAATGTAATCAATTAAATGCTATAAATGTAAATGTTTTTGAATTAAAAAAAGTAGTCTGTATCATCTAAAAGCAATCAAATATACAAATATTTACATATAGATGTTTGCTTCTTAAGATGTTACTGACCGACGTTACACGGTGTAATGTTACGAGGAATTATGTATATCAAGCGACTCATCGCTTTCTCAGGGGCCACACAAAGTGCATTCGCTACTAAGCGATTCTATAACAAACTTCAAAATGTATGTAACTGACGGGCGACTATCACATGACTTATCGAAAGTTATTGTCAGTTCAATAGATTGTCTAGCTCCGCAGATTTCCCTGTAACACTACGAACTGACTGTACATAAGCATGTAGCAGTGTAACATGTTACATTACACCGTGTAACTTTGGTCAGTACCCTCTAGGAATGATGGTGGTGTATCAGCTTATTAAAAATAATTGTACAAAATACTCGTACCTGTAAGATATATTTTTCTTGATGTCGTATAAGTACTGATAATGTTTTCACATCCGTCCCCTCGTATTCTTCTAGAAGACTTAGATTTCCTATTAAAGATAATAAAATTTTAATAATTTTGAAATATATTTTTCATTTAAAGAATGATTCACTCAAGTCGTCGTTTTTACCTCCGTCATTGTCCCCTGAACTTCCTCTGTACAGGCCCCAGTGGAATGATGACGAGCAGGGGCTGATGGTGATGTAGACATGAGACTCTGGTATTAGTGATGTGTTTAACTCGAGGCTGGAAACAAATTAATTCTGTTACATGACGCAAAAATAACAGGACTTTGAACACCACAGGCAATTAATAATCTTCTATTCAATAAGATTTGTAGAATGAAATAGGTTTCACTTTTCGTTATTTGAAATAATATAATTTCAAAAAGTGTTTAGATTAAAATGACCTTGAAAAGAAAAACAAAACAAATCTTTAAAGTCGGCGAAGTTCTGCGTCAATCCGAGTTTGATTTGAAGTAAACAAAACCAAGTCATATGTATCAAAATGGTAGTTAAAATCCTAAGGATCTAGTTATACTATGAAAGGATCGTCTCGAAAAATGAAGGGCAATACTCCTATATAACCCTTTGCACGGAATACGTCCTTAACACGCTCGCTGCTTATGCCTTTATATGGAGCTTTGAGATCCTAGTACTTACGCATCATACATGGTATAAGATACTGAACAAGTTTGAACACTTATAAACTTGGCACGTGCGAGATTTACTATTTTTGAAACAATAAGAATCAATAAATAGCACTTATAAGAAATATCGTCGGTCGTTAAACCGATGCGACGTTGTTTTTTTAAAAAACGACGCGCACTAGTGCTGTTATTGTTGATTCGACCAAAAAAGTACCAGGATCTCAGAGAATATAGAAGTAAAGTAAGCAGAGTAGTACACAGAGAGAGAGAGGGAGAAAGAGACAGAGGAGAGAGTAGTATTTGATGCTTATTTGTCTAACGAACGAGATTATGAGATCCTAGTAGAGATAAAGATAAAGATAGTTTTTATTTATCTTATAAAAAAAGTTCCTAAGTTCCTAGTACTCTACAAAATTCTACAAAAATCTCCAATGTCTTTCAAATAGCCTAATATTATTTTATTGTATCTGCAAACATTTTACATGCAAAAAAGTCCCAGTGGTTTAAAACTTTTCTTAATCTTAAACTTCTTGAATTGTTTTCAGTTCTATGATAATACCAAATAATATTAGACTGTCTTGAGTTTGATATTAAATTTTGATAATTTGAAATTCAATAAATGAACTCGCTTGACCGGTCACATTATAATATAAAATCAAATATTTTACATAAGTACATTTTCATATACTATAGAACTAATTAATAATAATAATAATAAATATTATATAATATCAATTTTCGTAATAATCGCCTAATGGTTAAGGGTACCGTTTTCCGATCACGTGGTCGAGAGTTCGAATCCACAAGCCTAAAGCTTAGTTGGATAGGTACAATAAATATTAATAAATTAACAAATATCTGCTTCTATTTAAAAAATTAAATTAAAAATATTTATAATAATATTCAAACAAATTCAGTTTGAAAAGTTATTCTGCTTGATAAATTACAAAACGAAGTGAAACCGATGTCAATCTATAGCTTGGCACTTGAAAAACACTAAGAAGAAGTATCTTTTAGTCTTTTGTAATTTAAGAAACGCTCTACCTTTTGCTTTCTCCTCTGTCCAACTTGTAGAGCGTCTGATTGTCTATGGGCAGCCAGTGGCGGTCGATCCTGGAGCGGAGACGAGTGACAAGCACGCTGGGGGCAGCCAACCCTTCGCCCGCTGCCTGCAGTGCAATTAGTACAGCAAGACGTGTACTCAGACTGCTCATGTTCCTATAACAAATAATTAGTATAGTATTTTTCAAATGTTTTGGCCGCTCAGACCATTACAACGCTGCACAGAGTAGGTGTAGCGCAGCAAGCATGACCTTGAGCCTACAAGATGTTTGAAAAGACTTATAATTAAGAAACATATTCATCTGGTTCCTGGGAAAATAACAGGATGGTCACCACAATATGTGTACACTTAATATGCGAAGATTTAAATATAATGTTTAATAGATCAAACATTAACAAAAACGAAGTTGTATATCAGATGATGGGCAACAACGTAATTGCTTCCCAAAACGATTCGCATTTATTTCGTACCCATTAAACCGTTGATCGAAGTACAATGTGCGTGGCTTCGCTTCCGAACACTTAGAGGTTTGAACAATAGCTTCGGTTACCCGACGTCCATTGGAGTGTTATTTGAGGCCATAAACAACGATTCCATTTCAGATCCATACTATTATCGGATAGAAATAGAATTATGTGTAACTTTTGTGATTGCTTTGAATTTTTACATTGTATTAGAATGATTTGCTATCGATTTTAATACCAATATTACCTTTATAGAATAACTAGCTATAGCCCACGACTCCACCGGTGTTGAATTAAAAAAAAACTTAACTAGTAGCCTATGTGTTCTTTCAGACTGTGTTCTACATCTATGCCAAATTTCAGAGAGATCCGTTATGCCGTTTCGGAGATATCTTTAAACTTACATCCATCCATTCATCCATAGTTCTAAACATTCATATTTATAATATTATTATATAAAAATATTATAGTAAAATAAAAGCGTAAATAATGTAAATAATTAAATAAATGATGTTCGATCGTCGTCGATTCTCAATAAAATAAGTTCTATTAGAATCTTAATAAGTGAACATGCGTTTGCCTAACGCTATAGAAGATTGCGCATGCGCATTTTCAATTTATTTCTTACTTAAAATAAGTTCGAAGGTAATAAAAGTTTTAATTACAATAACAAATATCCCGCGGAAATTAACTTCTATCTATTAATTTTATGAGTCTGACGGTCGCTGAGTTTACGATCGCAGCGCCCCCAACGTCGGCGATCGCAGCAATAACGAAGTTTTATTGTAAACATATGGCCACTTCATTCATTAAAATGGCGCTTCATTAAATTTTATTTTAATTAGTTATTTATTTAAACATATTAAAACCCATCTTATGTTACTGTAACATGAATGAGAAGTAATCTTAATTCTATACATCATCATCAGCTCACTATACGTCCCCACCGAGGGGCTCGGAGCCTAGCCTAAGTTAAGGGTGATTAGGCCATAGTCAACCACGCAGGCCCAGTGCGGGTTGGTTGACTTCATACATATCATAGAATTTCTTCTCAGATATGTGGAACATCACGATGTTTTTCTTCACCGTAAGAACGCCGGATAAATGTATACATATGTAAATAGAAAACTCATTGGTACATGGCCGGATTCGAATCCAGGACCTGCAGATTGCAAGTCAAGTGCTTGACCCCTGAGCCACCGACGCTCCTAATTTTACACAATTACTACACAATTAGCAGTGTTAAAGTTATCTGAGAAAAAATTACATATGTAAAATTATATGTCTATTGTGATCCCTTTCATTTCCTTTTAAAATAACGAGATAACAATAAAAGTCGCGATAACTATTTCACAGACTTTAGAACACAATTTAATCAAGAAATCAGTTAACTATTCGACTAATCACATACACACATATAATTTTGATTGTATATAAGAAGATCCTTCACATCCCGTTTTATTTATGAACAAGTCAACTTTTTTTTATATCATAAAGTGTTTGCGTGTATGTGTGTGTTATACGAACATGCGACCACCTGAATTCGCCGCTATAGCGAAGCGACCGCAGCCCATAGACATTCGCAGTTACATGCGTCGCCAACCTTTAATCGAAGGAGTAGGGGCTGCACAGGAAGAGGATATATCCCTTACGTATACGTCCTCTCCTCGGTCAAATACAATTCTAGGAAATACGATTAATATTTTTATTATTATTACATTTTTTTTGTCATAATAAACAAGATTTTGCAAATACCTAGCATAGTTAATATTGTCCAAGTACTAACGTTGCAGACATTAATTACTAGATGGCACACGCCACTATCAATTTGTCTCCTTTATTACTTCTACTTACGTTTGACAGTTAAAAGATTAGCTCCCAGTGGACCTAGCCTGTGAATCTGTTTCCACACGTAAGCATGTTTCGTAACAAGCAACTTATAATTAACTGGCTCAATACATTAAAACCTCCTTTGTATAATGTGACAAAAACAAAATAAAGATTTTTTTTAATACCATAATTTGCAACGTATCAGTATGTTATCAGTGAAATACAAGTACTAAAAACATATGTCGTCCCTCTCAGTCTTCCTTAATAAAATGAGATAGCAATATGACGTCAGTTAGTTACGTCGAAACTTGTGCTACTTTCAAATGAATTTAAAATTTGAATCCCGCGATGACGTCACGAAATTTTCGTAATGAAAATGGAGAAAAAATACGTTACTAAAACCATTTAAATAATTTTGGACGTATATATTTAAATAACTGTTCTATAAAGGAAATACGGTAACGTACATATTTCTTTTATTTAGGTATCTCAGTATGTTTCCATAGTTGTTTCAACCATAAAACAGCAAATTATATGTTTTTCCAGACTTCTACATCATATCTCATGTTGTATTCTGTACGATGTTGTATTATTAAACGTGTGTAAAATCTACGCATGGAATTAAAACAAAACCTAGTAGCTTATGTGTTCTTCCAGGCTATCTGCTACATCTGTACTAAATTTCAGCGCTATCCATCCAGCGGTTCTAATGATACTTCTAACAAACATCCATCTAAACATTCGCATTTATAATATTAGTACGATTAGACGAAGTATAGTTGAATTCAATGGAAATGACAAATTATATATACAAATCATATCTCGAATTGACAATGTGTTATTGTCTGTAGGTTTATTTTGGATCTGTGTTTCAACAAAATGGAAAATACACGTCTGTTTTAATAAGCCTGGAATTACAGAGTTAAAAAGGTAAAATTGTTTATTTTATTTTGTTATTATTTCTCATTTCCATTGAATTCTACTATAAATATTTTAATGTAATTTAATCCTCTTTCCCTTCCCACCCTTTTGCTAATAAGGAAATGATGAGAAGTGGAAGTGGGGTTTCCGGATGAGAGGATGCATAAAAACATATTCTTTCGGTGCATCCTCTCCTCTGTCGATTAAAGGTAGGCAACGCATATGCAATTGCGTATGTCTATGGGCAACGGTCTCTTCGCTATTTGAGCGATTTCAAGCGGCTGCTCATTTGCCACATTATGACAAAAGAACTTAAAAGTCTAAACTTTAACTAAAGTTAAAACACTTACAGGTTCACGAAAGCTTTACACAAAAACTCTAAGATTGGTACCAAAAAGTTTTAATGTACCCTCAAGGATCGTAGATAAAAACATATTCACCAAACTTAGATTGTCGTTGAATTTAAGTTTTTATGAAAGGCTTAAAGATTATAGGTTTATAAACTAAACTTTTGTTCTATTTTTTCGCATCGATTAAACTTTGGCTGACGCGTCTAGTCTTGCGGGTGCTTGTGAGGGCTCCTGAATGATGGTAATTTTGATGGTTTTTATAAAAATTCACGAAAAAAGATGTTTTTATTGAATGTTGTGATATTTTATTTATTTCTAGGAAATTTATTACCTAAGTAATATTTTGTTGTGTAGTTTTCAACTTGTAACTTACACCACTTTTACAAAAAGAGCTTAAGTTGCGAACTTACATAAAAAGAAAATTGTAAGCACTTCTCGAGTAACTTCGTTTTAGTTCGAACATCTTAACGAAAGTTGAAAACTATTTGCTAAGTAACAAGTATTTATGTTAAACTGGAAATAAGTATTTCGATAATAAATAATAATCGAAACATAGACGAACAAAACGAACGAAATAAATGACATATTTGGACTGTACTCACTGCAGACAAATGGTTATACTACATTTTAACCGAAAGTAGGAGGTCCTAAATTCGCCTATTTATTTGTAAAATATTATTGTATTTTTTTATAACAGTTTCTGTTCCTTCTTAATATTTTTTACTTATCGCCCTTTATTGTCTCTTTTACCTCAGGTGATATATTCTTTAAATCGTTGAATTAATGACTCATGGAGATAACACGTAATACTGAATCATAGGGTACCTTATACAGTTATGGCTTCTTGTTTTAAGATCAAAAGAGTATTATTGTATTCCATATTATTACTAACATTATTTAGATTTTTAATACTTTTTAATTCTCCTCTTTATATAAGACTTAAACAAGCTGTCGCCCGCGGCTCTGTCCGCGCGGAATAAAAAACATAATTAGAGGCCTATGCGTTCTTTCAGAGCTGTTCCGGGGATACCATCAAACAAACATCCATCTAAACATTCGCATTTATAATATTAGTAGGAAGTA